TGTTATCCAGGAAGGGGCAATGACTAGGACCATAGTATATTATCAACTACTTATTTTAATTTGCCACATCAGCAAATCCATCCAATGAAATGGATGGAAGGGGAAATGTCGATAATGTTACAACAATCAAGGGGTGTCGAGATCAGTTTTTAAAGTTTGCGGGTAAAAAGTTATCAAAAATTAAAGGAGTAAAAATAAAATTTATCTTTTTGTTAAGATGAGATACGTAATGAGTATTTTTTTTTTATAAAAAAAATATTGTTGTCTTTAAAATTAATTTTATTAATCGATAATTTAATAATAAAAATATTTATTAAAAATAGGTGTATGAAAAGTGCACTAGATACACGCATATTATATCTTAGAACGTCCATTTTATGTGCAAGTCCAGCAAAAAGTACATGTGTGGGGCTTAATTTCGAACATAATGATTCATAAAAAATATTTGTCGTCAAAATATATACGTGTACGGGGCTCCCTTTTCCTTAGGTCAAAGGAAAAGCTTCCTTTCTATTGGCCTTTTTCCTTTAGACAGCCCCCTTCTCCCTCTCTTTCTTCTTTTCCTTTTTTTAGTTCAACACGTGAACCGTGATATTCTTATATATCACGTTGCTTATATGAACATAATCACTTTTTATTTTTTTTTACCTGAAGGGGGTACATTATTGAGCTATATATGAGCAATCATGTTAATAGCTTTTGCAATGCAGTTTTATAATCAGTATGTTAATGAAAAAATTAGTGTTTAAGTGTAAAAAATACTCTTCAATATAATGTCATTTGTTGTGTTAAATTTGTCATATACCATATATTATAGCTAACTTGCCACCAATTAGTATAACATAGAGCAAATTTAGCATTTAATTACTCTCTGTTGATATGTTATTTTTCATTTAATCATTACAACTCTTACATTTTTAAATTATTCTAAATCTAAAAATTTACTTTTACTACAATCAAAGTTTAATGATTATGGTGATAAAAAAAAAATTAATGATTATGAAAAAAATTAATAGATTTAACATTTGACAAAACATTATTGGCATGTTTACTTACCAGGATTGAAGAATGAGAGAGGAGAATGGGAGTCAATCACATGTTTACTTGCTCTTTTTTTTTTATCTTGGAATGGGAGTGAGATTGCTCTTTTTTAACACTATTTATTTTTATTTTTATTTATTTTATTTAAATTTTTTTAAAATTTATTTTTATATTTTAAATAGTTGTACAATTTATATTTATTATTTTAGTACCCAATTATTACACTAAATATTTTAATTATGATTAATTTTAATGTAATAAGTACACAATATATTTTTTAAATTGGAAATATCAAATTGATTTTTAAAGGGTATATTAGTACTTTTACACTTTTTTATTCTGATTCTGGGTGTAAGTAAACGTATGAATGAGATTTAGAATGACTCCGATTCTGAATCCTATCACTAAGTAAACAGTTTATTCTGACTCCGATTCCTCACTCCGAATCCTACTCACTCCGAATCCTACCCACTCCGAATCCTGCCCACTCCGATTCATGCTCATTCTGATTACGCGTAGATAAACATGTCATATGTGTTGTAGAGTAAATGAAAATAATATATCTTATTATACTTTTTAATGTTAAATATAATATTAACATTAATATTTACATTAGAGATGGATTAATACTCAGGCCTTAGTCTAATAACTATTAGTTTTAACCAGATCTACATTTGAAAAAATTTTGATCGTTTTCTTGTTGAAAGTTACGTGAATATAAAAGAAAAGATCGATACGGCGGTTATCACATAATTTAAGTTTCTTTTAATAAAGCAAATCATGATAGACCTTTTCAAGCATCCCCGAATAAAAATAATAGAGTTATTATTATTATTATTATTAGAATTAAAAAAGAAGCTTATTGCCTAAAACCTCTTAGTCTTATGGCACCGGGAGATAAGGATGAAGTGGGATTTTTAATCCCGTCTTGTATAAAAAACAAAAAAACAAAAAAAAAAAACAAAAACAAAAACAAGTTTATTAAAAAAGAACAGATTTAAGTAGAAGCGATAAATGACTCGTAAGCATCGTTTGTCAGCCTGTGCATATCTTGAATCAACTAACCAAAACAAAAGATAAAAACTTTATTAATTTGGAAGTGGTTGAGTAGAGAAGGACAGTATTTTTTTTTTTTTTTACTAAAGGTGGGATTTAAATAATACACATAAATAATATATATATAATATATATATATATATATGTGTGTATGTAAGATATACACGCCCCTTTCGTTCCGTCCATGAATGTATAAGGACATAAAATAATAAGATGCCACCATGTGCATAGTACATTCGCAAATCTCAATCCAATAATGTCTTCCCCAGACACGACAGCAGAATATGTCACCAAATTGAATTTCCGTATGTCCAACTACTCACCATTTTCCTTTTGCGTTATTTATTTATTTATTTTTTAAATGCTACACAAAGATATTCTTTTTTGGGATATTAGATCTACATATATATATATATGTATGTATGTATATGTATGTATATTTGATTAGGTAGAACTAATACATTCCCTTCTATATATGTAGATCTACATATACCTTGTCCCACCAACACCATTCCCAACAAGGAAAATCCATAGACGAATTCTTTAGTAATAGAAAAACATTGTATACCTTATTAGTATCGACGACATTTCTGCAAAGTTTGTGATAAGATCTTCATTTGGGCTTTATATCAAAGTTCCTGGAAACCTAGTTGGAGTTTCTGAGATAAATGTCAAAAATATATTAGCGCCTATTCTAAAATCTGATTACAATTTCGTTCTATTACGAAAATGACACTACTACTTTAAGTCTCACGAAAATTACAGGTTAATGATAATAGAATTAGATTAATAATTTGGAAAGGTCGGTACGTAATGTTTATATGACATGCAAATAGTCATTATATCATAAAGATTGTAACTTTATGATAATATTGTTCGCCATATCAACGAACCTAAGAATAAAAATTGCAACTGCATGACAATGAACTAAGATTAAATTTTTTTTATTTTTAAAAATGGTGATGTTTATGTGCAATATGCAAGTATGATCGTTATGACATATAAGGAATAAACTTTATGATAATAATCAATATCTTAATCATAGAAGGGGTAAAATAGATACCACGAACTGTTATTTTTATTCAAAAAAAAAAAATACTAGACAAGATTATAATATTAAGAGCACGTAGACAATTATTATTAAATTCAAATAGTTACTTTAGTTTTTGTTACCAGCCCGCCCAACTTTTTTTTTTAGGTTAATTTATGAAATTGGTCTTAATTTGAAGTTTACCTTCAGTCCTACTTTGGTCTTGATTTTTGAGGACTAAAGTGGAATAGAGGGTAAACCTTAGGAAAACATTTGTGAGATCAACTTTTTCTTTTTCTTTCTTTCTTTCTTTTTTTTTTTTTGTTTTATTTTTTTTCGTTTTATTGTTTTTTTTACCGTAATGATGAAAGGCTAATGATAAGTGTAATGTCATTGTGATGCTATGCAATTTAACTACTTTCACCACGATATGGTTAGGATGTATTTTCTATCTTGCCTCCCAAGATGAATTCAAATTACGAAATATCAGAGTCTCATTTTTAAGTCTCAATTTTCTAAGATAATTTGATCAATGGATTGTGCGATCACTTCTACTTGAGGCACACTATAACTCTATAACCACCTGTTTTTACAAGGAAATTAACACACCTATCACCACCAAATTGCAACGCTTGGAAATCTATCAATATTGCTATTTCTCATGATTAATTGAAACGTCTATCACTCGAGAACAACTCTTAATTTGGACATTACACAATGTACGACTCTAGGAGAGGAAAAAAAACAATACCAAGAATTTCAATCGACTTTGGTTTCTTTTTTTTTTCTTTTTTTTTTTTTTTTTTTGCTCTCTCAAAATGATTTCAAGCTATTTTGGAGTTTGAACCACTAAGATTATGATCAAATAAGGTATTTTCAAGGTATAAAAACATACCCGCAAACTCAGTTTTATATAGGGGCAAGACCCTCAAAATAGTTAATGCAAGCGTTGTATGTGACAGCTAGAAATTGAAAAACTAGCCTTTGGAGGAGGCCAATAAACCAGCTACACAGGGTTCTTACAACCGGTCTCAATTGCCTCCCACCCCCAATTCTCACAAAAATCTATTTTTGGCTTAGAAGATAAAGAAAATAAAAAGATTATTTCATTCTAGTATCAAAATTTTGATTTTGAACTTTAGAAAATGTAAAAAATATATATACATATTTATTTTAGAGAGATTTGAACTCAAATTCAAAGTTCTGATTTAATATTTTCTCTCATAAATATTTGAATTCAAAAAGTTATGTTAAAGCGTTTTATCTCACAAAAATTTCAAAAATTTGAAATTCTAATTCGAATCACCTGGTTTAACTTTGAACTCATATACGAAACAATCCCTTAGTGTTTCACTTTCTTGAAACGTTATGACCAACAATGATTCGAGTGAAATTAAGCCTAGTCATTTATATGTAGATTGAGTTAGGTACTTTCCATTCTATTGGGACCCCAAGATTTGTGTTAAAGATGAAGACGTTCGCTAGCTAGGATAAGATGATAACCATGATCTCTCTTTTAAAAATAAAAATAAAAATAAAAAAATCAAAAACACCCCCCCTCCCTTTTCCCTTTTACCTTAATAACATATAACATAAAGCGCTAGGTGTTATCACTTATATTAATCAACACAATCCAATCAGTGAAGGTCTAGACGTTACTTATTCATGTATATACATACGTATATATGCAGACATATGACTGTGGATTAATTCCTTAAATAATAGCGCACTTGACCATATCCACTGCGTGGTTATCGCCATGTTCTAATTTCTCTTCGTCGACTTAGAGAATCGTGCATCTAACGTGCACGACTCACTAATATATTGAAAAGTCTTCTTTGAATAATCCTATATAATCAACTAAAATATTGAAAAGTTGATCTATCCAAGTGCCCTATAAAAAGCGAGGCTCTTTTATTCCTCAATCGCTCGATTCCGATCGAAAACCACCACTGAGCTAAACCATGGCTTCCCTCTCCACCACATCGCCACCCACCACCACCACCGGCATTGCCCCCTCCACCACTTCCTTGTCCCCTTCACTCCAAAAAAAATGCCAAATCTCTACTATCTCAAAGCGTAGCAACAAGCATTGCCTCCCACGTAAACTTTCATGCAAAGCCAACAACAATGATCACGACCTCAGCCCTACAAACGACGTCGCATCAAAAACTTCAAATCCTAAACTCGACCGTAGAAATGTTCTCCTCGGCCTTGGCAGTCTCGGCGGCTTGGCGGGCCTACGTGCCGACCCCTTCGCCTTCGCCGCCCCCATTTCCGCTCCGGACATATCCCAGTGCGGCGCTGCCGATTTTCCCTCGGGCGTGGATCCCGTCAACTGCTGCCCGCCAGTTTCCGCTCAAATTGTCGACTTCAAGCTGCCTGCTAGCCCCGGCAAACTTCGCGTGAGGCCGCCGGCTCATGCCGTGGACAGCGCTTACACAGCGAAGTTCAAAAGAGCTTTTGAGCTCATGAAAGCCCTCCCGGACAGCGATCCGAGAAGCTTCAAGCAACAGGCCAGCATCCACTGCGCCTACTGCGACGGCGCGTACGAGCAAATCGGTTTTCCGGACCTCGACATTCAGGTCCATAACTCCTGGCTCTTCTTCCCCTTCCACCGCTGGTACCTCTATTTCTTTGAGAGAATCTTGGGAAAGCTCATTGACGATCCCAGCTTCGCCATGCCGTTCTGGAACTGGGACGCCCCAGCGGGAATGCAGATACCTGCGATTTATGCCGACCGAAGATCACCCCTCTATGACCAGTTCCGGAACAAAAGCCATCAGCCGCCTTCGCTCGTCGACCTCGACTTTAATGGTCGGGACGAATCGATCTCAAACCAAGCCCAGATTCAATCCAATCTGACCATCATGTACCGTCAGATGGTGTCCAACAGCAGAAGCGCAAGGATATTCATGGGAGAATCTTATCGCGCCGGGGACGAGACCGATCCGGGGCCGGGTTCCTTCGAGAATATCCCGCATGGCTCGGTCCACACATGGACCGGCGACAACACACAGCCTTACGGAGAGGACATGGGGAACTTCTACTCGGCTGGTAGGGATCCAATCTTCTTCGCTCACCACTCCAACATCGACCGAATGTGGAACGTTTGGAAGACATTGGGTGGCAAGAGACAAGACTTCACCGACCCCGATTGGCTCGATGCCTCTTTCTTGTTCTATGATGAGAACTCTCAGCTCGTGCGCGTCAAGGTCCGAGACTCCCTCGACTCCCGAAAGCTCGGGTACACCTACCAAGACATCGAGCTTCCGTGGCTGAACACCCGGCCGAGGCCGCGGAGAGTGGTCGACAAAGTAAAGAGGGCTTTCGCGCGCATTGGGGTGGCTCGCGCTGACGAGTACCCGACGGCTAATTTCCCGCTAACGTTGGACAAGCCGGTGAAGACGTTAGTGTCGAGACCGAAGAAGTCGAGGAGCAAGAAGGAGAAGGACGAGGCGGACGAGGTTTTGGTGATCCAAGGGATCGAGTTCGACAGAAACGTGCCGATCAAGTTCGATGTTTTCATCAACGACGAGGACGACGCGCTGACCGGACCGGACAAGAGCGAGTTCGCGGGGAGCTTTGTGAGCGTTCCGCACCGGCACAAGAGCAAGACGAAGATGAACACTGGCTTGAGGCTGGACATTACTGAGCTGCTGGAGGATTTGGACGCGGAAGAAGATGAGAATGTGGTGGTGACTTTGGTGCCCAAAGTTGGGATCGGACACGTCTCCATTGGTGGGCTCAAGATTGAGTTCGTTTCTTGAGCGCGCACCCATTGGGCGCCAGTTTTCTTTGTTTTGGAATACCACTTTGCGACTTTTCATGGGTTGTTTCGGTATTGGCAACTGTGCTTGGTAATATGTCGTATGCCCTGTTGACTGTTCTTTGTCTGTGTCGTTTTTTCTCTTTAATAATCGCGTTGTGGAATAAAGAATAGATTGGTTTATCCAATACAATATTCCCCATCTCGTACTGATAGATGTAGATGCTCTCTTTTGCTTTTTCATGAATTAAATGTTTTGTTTGCTGTGAATGTGATCGAGGTCACCTCTCCCCAAAACTTGTCCCCTTAATATGTCCCACTTATCACATTTTGATACATTAATACCTCATTTATTTCGTTGGTTTAAAGTTAAAAAATAAATTTATATGAGAAAAAATATTATAATATAAAAAATTAAATTTAAATTTTTATAAGACAAAATATTGTAATAAAAATATCGAATTGTGATGTAAACAAACAAAATGAAAAAGGTCTTAGACAATTTATTATATGAGGGAATTATTAGAGTTTAGAGTGTTACCATCACCGTCAATAACATTATTTAAAAGGAAACCGTCCCGTTGTACTTCCGCGAGTTTCTTCCAAAAAAAAATTTAATTAATGATATGGAAGATGCACAAATAAATTCATTGTCGGAAGCTTTATATCTAGATTTTAACCTTTTTTTTCATTTCTTAATACAGATATAACAGAAAAGGCAACGATAGTGTTTGAAATCATAGATACAAAGTTTGATCTGTGCAGAATGCAATTTAAAATAGAGCTTACATTTGTTAATTATATGACTTTGTTATGTACTCTTTATGATTCACAGGGAAGAGTTCACATTTTCACGAGAAGACTTTGGTGCCAATGGGTAGGTAGAACATACAGTAGTTTTAGTTCGCAAGGAAAAAGATTATACATAACGCGGGGGAGGAATTAAGAATTATAAATCAATGTACGATTACAAATTGAGAAACTTGTCACTTTCATTTATACCCAATCTTATGCATTTTTTATATAGGTTTTCGACTAACTATTCGCATAGAAGACGCGTGTGTGTTGGTTTCTTCGCTAATATTCCTCAGTCAAATTAAAATATATATATGTCAAATTGTAAGATTTAAATAGAAAAATATTTAGAGCACCATGGGTGTTAAGTTTCCACTTATAATATAAGGTTATGTTCATTTTATTGATTTAAATTTAAAATTTAAATTTTATTACAGTAAAAAATTTTAAAAAATAATCACATTTAATTTTTACTACAATAAAAAAATTTCACATAAAATCACATATCAACTCAAATTAAAAACTCAAATCAATATTATTGAAATTATCTTCCATTAGTGGGTACTCAGCACCGGCTTGTACCTTATTGCACTATTCATTGTTAAAATCAGAATAAGTAGGATGTGAGAAGGAGGCGGGATCATGGACTTTCAAGGGGGGAAAAAAAGAGCAAAGATAGAAAGAAAATACAAGATCTTGCCGCAGCAATGAGTGCACTTTAATTTTGAATATGGGCACAATTATGGTCTCGTTCATTTCACCGATTTTAATTTTCAGTTTTATATTTTTACAGTAAAAAACTCTCAGAAAATGTCATATTTAACTTTTTCTGTTATAGTGAAAAGCTCTAAAAAAATATCACATTTCAATTCGAATTGAAAACTCGAATCTGCGAAGTAAACGAGGCCATATTTGACTATCTTACCCCCGTACTACCCGCTCTATTCAAAGTTCAAACGCGTAGATGATTAGACAAATAGAGATAGCTTTGGTCACGCAAACAAAGCGAGCAAATTGTCAATATTCCCAGCAAAAATATAGCAAGTTGTCAAGAATAACCAGCTGCTTGCTTCTCGATCGGAAGGAAAAAAGCGCATACGTAACTTAATATTTTGAATCAATTAATATATGGTCTGTTGAATTCTCCAATAAGAATGCATATATGCAAATAGTTAAAGGAAGAGAAAAAAACAAGTTGATTAGAACAAGTTAATTAGAAGTAGTTAAGAAAAAACTAATTAAATATTATAAGTACCAACAAGCAACTTGAGAGGAAGAAGAGGAGCTACGCCATCAAGAGACAAGTGAATACGAAGCCCTCCAGAAGAAGAAGAACTTGTGTATTTTTTCTTTTATTTTTTTTTATTTTTTATTTTTTTTTTGGCCGGGATACAACCATTAGTATTGTTGCTCTCGCGTTTAATTATGCGTTTATATAGATGAAGATATCCCCAATAAATGAAGTACTCTGTACTTCTATCTAGTACACTTTCAGCACAATACGTGTAGTACACTCTAATTATATGCATGCTATAAAATTAATTAACAAAGTTGGTGAGATACTTTTGATCTAAGCCATTATAATTTTAAATTAAATTAATTTTTTGAAATGAGCGTATAAATGAACTTACTTTTCTCTTCAGAGATAGAACTTATTTTGAAAGTTATTACCTCCCCGTTCATTTCGCCGATTCGAGTTTTGTTATAGTAAAAAGCTCTTAAAAACAGTCACATCTAATTTTTTTGTTATAGTAAAAAGCTCCCACACAAAATCACATCTCAACTCGAATTATAAACTCAAATCAGCGAAATAAACGGACCCTCAAACTTTTTGAGTGTTGTTAAAATGATCCATCCTTTTAAGTTTTAAAAAGAAAGCAAATTATTTAAAAAGCTGTTGTTAAAAGTGGCTCGTATGAACCTTTTTTTCCCCCTTTTTAGTAAGCATTTGATAAGAATTATCTTAACAACAATGTTTCTTTCTTTCTTTCTTTCTTTTTTTTTCTTTTTTTTTTTGCTAGTTAAAATGCTTCTTTCATTCTCTATTAACTTATTCTCATATGTACAAAAAAAATATTTATTACAAATGCACACTTTACACCAATTTTCTTGCTACAGAAAATTTGAAAAAAACAGAGACACAAAAAAAATTGTAGTTTAATAAATCCTACGTGAATGATATCGCCAATTAATGCATAAGAAGCAATATTAAAGCTAGATTTCACTCTTATTCTAGAAAGGATTCAATTGTTGGATTTTCATCTAGTGCAATAGCTACTTATAGGACCATGACATGATACTATTTGTCAAACCTACTCCGACTTCATCAATCTCTTATTGAAACAGGTTTTTTTTTTCATCAAATTAACTGCTTATGAAACAAATAAATATGTAATTTAGCATTAGAAAATATGATTTGAAAATAATATATAGTAGAATACACAATGTAGCTGTGTCATATATATATATACACCGTAGATTGAAGAAACAATTCGGCATATGCCTAATGAATAATCTCCTTCATATAATGCATGACATAGAAGCTACATCCAACATAATTACATGGATAAATTTGCGGGACTAATTACTATATTTTTTATAAGAACATGGACGAAAGCAGCAAAATTGAAATCATCAAAAGTGGGAGCAACAACTTTGCCTTTGTTTTCAATCATTTTCGATTGAAAGGAGATCAACTTCTACAAAACAAAGAGACAAGAAAATGACAAAAATGAAGTTTATTATTACTCATCCTAATCAAAGGTATAAATTATTAAATTTGGACCGTGCAGACTTGAGAATATGAACAGTCCAACCCAACCCCACCCAAATATTTAAATGGGCCGGGCTGAGACAGGACAAAGAGTCGAACTTTGTCCGGCTTATTTTGCCCTTCCTAAATTGACATTTCAATTCCCAGTTCTCCAATGACAAATTTTAAAAAGTCAAGCAAGAAATATTTTCTTTTTAGCAAAAATTAGTCTTAAAATACATACATACCTTTCAATATTTTTTATTACCTGAAAAATTAAGTGAAATCTATGTAGCATATTGACTTAATTTTTAGGAAATAATTTAAAAAAAAAAAAGAGAAATAAAAAGATTTCTTCATAAAAGGATAAAATCGGTATTTATTTCTATTAATAAGCTGTAATAAACATATTACAAATGAAATTTATAGACATATTAATACTTTTATTTACGTTTTAACTTCGTTTGATATAAGAGCTTTTTGAGAAGTTATATCTTTTAATTTTGCTCGAAAGTTGATGCAAAGTGTCATTCAGAGTTGTATTAGAATTGCAGTGGTCTTGGTCGTTTATTTGTTCTTTCATTGTTGATGTCGTTTAGTTCATAGCTTTATGCATTTTGGTAAAGAAACATATTGGTTTAGAGCAGCATATCAGGTTATAAAAGAAAGAAAGAAAAAAAAAAAGGGACATATCCGGATTCTGAAAACAGAGTACAGAGCAGAGCAGTACAATCGTGTTGGTCATTTTGTTGCCATTATGGGACTTTCAGAAACCAAACGGATAATCTTACAGATGCTCAACGTTGCTGTAAATCCCACTCTAATTCCCGCTTTTGTAACGTCTCAAGTTAATTTATGATCAATCAATTTGTTTCAGTTTTAATCATTTCTTTATGAGTTTGCTGTAAAAAAAAAAAAGATACGATATGCATGCGATATAAAGAAATTACTAATAGCACATGAAATTTTGTACGTGATTCTAATGTAAAAATGAAAAATAACATTGCTAACTGAATATTTTCATATTTTATTATTTTTTAACACTCTACTGATGAAAATGATAAAACTGAAAAATATATATAAATTGGGAATTAAGCTTGAGACGTTTAAAAAATCAGAATTTAAGATGAGCAACAAAATTTAGAGACTATTCATGAGATTAATCGTAAACTAGAAAAGGACTTCTCAGGAGTTTACCGAATCTAGGAGGATTCCTCTGTAGTTGATGAAAGAAGAATTCAACAGCTATTGGAATACAAATTCATGCACAGAAGCTTAGAAGATCATAGATTCAAGGGGGCCTCAATAACTCTACTGTGTATGAAAATTGAAAAGGATGCATATTATTCTTGGTGCTGAGGGGTTAATTAGCTAATTTACACTAGGGACTTGAATCACATACAATATCAAACTGGTGAAACAAATCATGCATCCAAGGTGATGATCGGAAAGTACGGCTATGTTAGATCCTATGATCGTAAGCAATGAACTTGTGGAATTTTTTTTTTTTTTTTTTTTTTTTTTTTTTTTTTTTTTTTTTTTCAAGTGAGGGAGTGTCATTTAGAGGTGCAGAGACGTATAATTATATTGCTGGTCTTTGTCGTGTCGGCCATTTATTTTTTTATTTCATTGTCTATGTTCTCTTTTATGTTTTGGTTAAGAACCATTTATATATGGTTTCATGGTGCCATGTGTAGAAGATTGTAAAAGGGGACGCAAATCT